GTAGTGGGACAGCTGGACTTACTGAGTCCTCTGTAGTGGGACAGCTGCTGGTACACTTGTTTCATGCGCTCAATGTTCAGCCGGCTGCCCTCGGCGTGGTTGATCATGGGTTTGGGGTAGTCCACTCCCACCACGCAGTTGGCCGCCTTCTGCAGAGACTCGGGAGCGTTCCACGGCTCGTAGATGTAGCGGTTCGGATAGTCCTTCAGGATGGGGACGTAACGCCTGCAGAAGAATTCAGAGGAGCTTCATCAGAACCAGGTTCCTGATTGGTTGAAGGATGTTTGCTGCTTTTGGACCAAACTCATCTAAGATCTCTGAGCTCAGTAGGATCATGTTGTCATTTATCCATCAAATATAAAATCCACATCTTCTCTAAAATAAATCTATTTTGACTGCAGCATTTTTTTAATCTATGGTTCAACTTAAAGATGAAAATGTCATGAAGTACGTCAATCCTCATCAGACATCTTAAGATTGATTTGGTCCAAAATGCAGAGAGTATCTGAGGAATAAAAGCCACAGATCAGTTCAGCTCTGCAGCCATGACGCTGTTCTAAAATCAATGTGACCTAATGTAGTCTCCAGACGGGTCGGTTCTCCTCCCGAAGCCCACGGGACAGTAGCAGTGGAAGAACTGCTGAAAGAAGGCGCTGCAGGACAGCCACATCCAGCTGCCGGCATTCACGCTCCAGTCTGCATCCAGCAGCAGCTCCTCAAACACCTGCAGGACCAGAACCACATCTAAGTTCTGTCTGAACACAGACTGTTCAACCAAGAGGAACCAGAACCACTGACCACACCTTCATGCCGCTCTCCCAGCTGATCCACAGGTCGCCTCGGGTCAGGAAGCAGGCCACGGCGTGCCGGGCCCGGTGGTGGATCCAGCCCTCCTGCCTCAGCTGTGTCATGATGGCATCAATCCAGGGGAAACCGGTCCGACCCTCAGCCCACTTGGCCAGCGCCTCTGGGTTTTGGTCCCATGGGATCTGGAGACAAACAGACAAGCGTTTGCTGTGAGACCAATCTTTGTTTCAGAGTTCTGATGCCCATTCACCTGCCTCCTCCATGTTTGGACCCACCTGGACACAGATAGGGTTCCCCTCCATGCGGTCGAAGTTGGGGTTGTTGGTGGCAGCCGTGTAGAAGAACTCCCTCCATAGGAGCTGACCGTACAGGGACAGAGGAGGACTGCTTCGTTTACAGAGCTGAGGAGGACAGGACACAACTTTGGTTCTGCTCGTGTGAAGAGTCAGAAACTTTCAGAAGGAACGTTGGAGGCTGCTGCCTGAAATATGACTCCTAATCAGCAAGACCAGTACCAGTCTCACGCATCGGTCTGATACCGTGTGCATGCTTGAGTCTGAGGGTTTGCTGCAGTTTGTCTCTGAGCTGAAGGGGATTCTGGGAACATACGGATCTGAGCTCAAGCTTCACGAACATCTCACCCATCACTAACGGCAGATTTTGGAAAAAGTCGCTGGTGTCCTGCTCCGTTGGAGTAAAGCAAGAAGCAAGCTTCTCTGGTTAAATAAATATATTTAAAGTAATTAAAAGAAGCCAAGTGACATTTTTATTTTGATTGTTCATGATACTTTAGAGCGAACTGAATGTTGAGACCGTCTGCTGTTTGTTTAGTTTGTTGTTGTTTACATGGTAAACTGGAGCCTCAGGTAAAAGCTTCAGGAGCTTCTTGAGGAGGCTCTTTTATCCATTAAGGCACTCTGTGTGTGTGTGTGTGTGTGTGTGTGTGTGTGTGTGTGTGTGTGTGCGCGCGCAAGAGTGTGTGCGTGTTGGTTTGAATCAAAGTGGTATCAGTGCATTATTAATCCTAATAATTGAGGATTAATTTTGTGACAGTTGAAGTTACAACAGGGCCAGACTCTTATTTTGAAGAGTATCTAGCAGCTTTAATAAAAACAGCTGAGTAACAGAAGATCCTGTCGTGTCACTGGTTGATGTTGTGACTTCCGTCTTTTCTGTGGAGCGGACGGCAGACAGAAACAAACTAGAACCTGGCCTTTAAACGATCGCTGCGAGTCGCATCAAATATTTCTCGACCTGTGAGCTCATCATTAAATAACTCGATCACAACCAGCCTCTAAGCTGATCCTTCATTAGATCTGCAGACCTTCATGTAGATCTCTCCGAGGTTGTAGTACAGAACTCTGCAGGACAGGCAGCCGAAGCGCAGGTAGGGACTGAGGCCCGTTGGACTGGCGTACAGAGAGCAAGTCTTGGCCCGGGTGCTGGCCACCCACACCTGAGGAGACGGACACAGAGAGGACATGAGGTTCATCTTCAGAACCAACACCGTTGGGCCTCTGACAGATGTTTACCTTTCTGTCCAGATGTTTGCCCAGTCTGTCCAAAGCCTCGGACTCTCCTCCCCGCCACACAGCTGGAGGTAACCCCTCGGTCCTGAAACCTGGACACAGATTCACCACGAGCTGTTAGAAATGACCAAACCTTTAATCCGTCGGTCACTCTGCCCTGACAAACAGTTTATTTAACTATAGTTCGTTTAACAATGGAGGATGAGAGACAGGAATGTTACAGAGGGATTTATGAGAGAAAGACACTTAAAATATGTATTATTAAGAAAATAGTTTTACTTGACGGTTTGAACCTTGTGGTGTCCCACAGGGCTCACTTTGAGAACACCTTTTAAAATGAAACTGACTGGGATTGTGTGTAAAAAATGATAGATAATATCTTACCTGTTGTAGATAGCTCTTTGAATGACTTTAGTTTGGAGTTTAATTCTGATGTGCTAATGGCTAATCTGAATGCAGCGAAATGGATTGCTGCCGTTTTAAAACAACTTTTATATTTTTCATCACGGCTCATGTGAGCGTTCATTTATAACCTTTTGCACTGCTGCCAGTTGCATTACACTGTTGTTTTGGCAGGAATATTATAATAATAAATGCCCAGGAAGTGCTACGTTTAGCTTCTGCGGCTAGTTGTGTGTGTAAATAACCACACAAGTTCAAGCAGATAATCGTGTAAAGGTTTATAAAGAACTGTTTATACAAAAAGGTCAAAAATTGTTTTCAAACAGCTTTGGTCTTAGCAAAGTTTAGACTTTTACATTAAGCTTGTCATCAAGTCTGAAAGAGCCATCTATAACAGGTAAGATATTATTGATCATTTTTACACAGAAACTTCCTTCAAAAAAGGAGAAATCTTTTCTAAATCTTCAAGAAAAATCTGTTTTTTTTTTTACACAAAAGACCTCAACTTGTGGATAAAGTAACATCTACCAACCAGAGTCCACGTCACCTCAGAGCAGCCAACAACAACAACTTTATGATTTTAATAAATAACAAAAGTGTGATAAGGTGTGAGCCTTCTGCTCACTGACCGAACACGTCCGGGAAGAAAAACAGAATCAAGCGGTCTGACGCTGCGATGTTTGTGAAGCAAGCGGCGGCTCACCCAGCTCTTCCAGAGAAGGAATACTGTACAGCTGGTCGTGGTTGTCGGATATTTTAGTGAGACATGTGCTCATCTGCTGTTGGCTGATGGGAGCCAGAGGTCTCCTGGGTAACTCCAGCCGGCTCACGATGGTCTGAAAGCGCTTAAAGGTCAGCGGGGGGCTGTTGTTGTTCATCTCGATTATCCTGAAACAGAAACAAGAAGCTGAAGCTCTGGAACGGCTCGCTGGGTCATATTTTACTGAACAATCCTGATAAACGGAAAACCCCGAATCTTTACCGGTAATAAATTGACCTGTTTGTTATAAACAAGAGACTTTAATTGAAAATGGAGGAAAGTCAACATTATATGACCTCCAGTAAATTTGATTTTCCACCTGAATCATTTTGTCTTCCTTTATAAACAACAATATAAAATAATCTAATAAAACCAAACAAGATACAATTACTGTATTTTTCAGCCTATAAGTCACATTTTTGTTTTGTTTTTTGGCATAATTTGTATGTGCTGCGACTTGTACACTGAAGTGATGTATTTATGGATTTTCCCCCCACATTTATAAACTAATTTTGGGCTGAGATATGACCATTTTCATTCATTCTGACAGAAAATATTGAGCACTACCATTTTCAGCCGCTAGATGGCACTCGAGTACTGTGGCATGCCATTGTGTCATGTAATAGATAAAAGTGGCTATTAATGACACAATCGGCTTGCCACAGCCTCCCACCTTCGTCCAGCTCACCTGGAGCAACCGTCAAATCAGCTTCATTTCGCAGCGCCGCCCCGACGAAACGCAGCTTATTTGACCATTAAAGTGCATTTATTAAGTTCAACTGAGACACACCTTTACTATAATGTCTAGCTAACAAATAATTGTTTCAGGTCATTATCTTGTTAAATTTTGAAGAAATTATAATTTCCTCCCTCAGAGCGCTCCCGGAGCACGCAGGCTGCGAAAACTTTTGAAAATGTAGCAGATTTGTCCGTCAAAGTGCATTTATTAAGGAAAAGTGAGACTGAGACACACCTTTACTATAATTTAGAGCAAATAAACAATAGTTTTTAAGTGTTAATCTTGTTAAAGTCCTACCCGTGCATGCTCCCGTGCCCACCATTTGGCAGCCAATCGATTTTTGGCACAACACCGGCCCACATTTCCGGGTTGTCAGCGGTGACGCGTAATAAATGCGAGGTATACAGCGAAGCAACATATTTATGGATTTTTCCACTTTATTAGACATATTTGGACTGATGCGACTTATAGGGCGATGCGACGTGTACAACGGAAAATAAGGTATACATATAATCTGTTTGAGTAGAAGGCCATGCAAGTACCAAAGACTGAAGCAGAACATCAGAACCACGGTTGAAGAACTCGGTCTCACAAAGCGCAGCTTGAGGTTTTGTCAAGGCTGGTTAGCAAACAATTCAACCAGGTTCTGGAAATGTTCTGAGTTTTAACTGAGAGGTATTTGGACCTGTTGAGCATCACCAGTCTGGCTGAAAACTACCGGCAGAATAATTTGAGTCTGAACCCAGAGACAATCTTTCTTCTTGTGGATTGTTGTGTCCGTTCAGAACCTGTGGCAGAAGCAGCGACTCACTGGCTGTAGCTCAGTGGATGTGTATTAATCCACACACGTACACATGGACCAGCAGTAATCCACGTTACGCAAGGCGGTGCTGTAACTGCACCGGGCCACGCAGCAGCAGAGAGGAGGTCCACCAGTCTCCATCGGAGGAGCAGCTAATCAGAGCACATGGACGGGAGGTGTGAGCTGCAGTTACAGCAGGAGGCCACAGGGGGGCGTCAGTCACCTACATGGGGGAGGTGCTTACCTGAATCAAACAACCCCCAGGATTTAATCTCAGGCTCTCCAGATGTTTTCAGAAGGTTATAGAAAAATAAATTAGAAAAAATAACAGAAATAAATTCTGAGTATCACCTGTAAATAATAACCAACGTGATCTGGAGCCTGGACAAACGTCTCAGGTGTTCTGGAGGTGAGTCCAACACAAAAAACAGAATTTATTCTCATGATGATAAAAGAAGGAAATCTTTTAAGTTATTTAAAATATAACAAGAACACAGTTATGTTTAATTTCACCTGACATGTTGGAAAAACAATCCAAAACAACAACTTTAAGGCGCGGTAAATGTCAAATATGTATCGAAGCTCAAACGTTCGAACCGGGAGTGAAAAAAAGACCAACAGAAGGAAATTAAACGGAAGAAACGTTCACTCCTTTGTATAAATTGACAAATAAATATAAAAGAAAAAAACAATTTAAAAAAAGGAACAAAAATATAAATAACAGTAAAGGAACAATAAAAAAATTTGACATCAAAGTTCCTTTTGAGTTTCCTCCATCAGTTACAGCAGCAGGAGGTTTAAGGGAACCTAACAAATTAATTATATTTCTCTATTTTCAAACAGAATTGTGATAAATTACACATCATATTTTCTACATTTTGGTGTTTAACTCTCCTTTGTGACATGTGTGTTAGTAAAAAAACAAGTTTGTTCCTTTCAGATGAACTAAAAGAACAACTGTTTCCCAGTTAAACAACAGCTGTTGCATTAAGAATAAATATTCTCCAGTTCTGTTGTTCCAGCAGGTCATGAACCTTGAAGCTCTGTCATGAAACGCAAACATCGGTTTTATCTTGAATCCAACTCAGCTTCAGATCCTTTTCTTCGCCAGTTAACCCAGATAAAGCCCACCAACCTGTCCAGACTGTAGAGCGTGTGCGAGTTCCTGACCACCGTCTCCACGCCGAACTCCTGGGCCATCTTGATGATGGCGCCGTCCCTCTCCTTCCCATAAGGCTCAGGGTCGAACTCGAACGTCAGCCGGGTCACGTTCCACTCCTGCAGCGACACAAACAATCGGTTGAAATCAGCATTTTCAGCAGAAAAATGAAACATTCTGACGGATGTTAAAGATTCTTCTTTGGTAAACTCTGAAAATGTTCAAAACTTGTAAAAAGAACAACCCGACTTCCTGTGCCCAGCGATTTTAGAGACGTAGACGATGAGAAACCAAGAGATCGGAACTAAAACTGAATTCACAAACCGATTCATTCAAAACGATGTAGGCTAAATAACAAAAAAAAAGATTCATTAAAAATCTAAAGATTTCTGCATCAACTTCTCTGAAAGCTGAAATCTGGGACTTCCTCTTGTAAAAATCTAAGCTCTTAATTTGAAAATTACCTTCAAATTTTGTTTTAAATCTTCAGGTTTTTCAACAAATAAGAAAACATGTGTCTTTCTGGATCTTTTCAACAACTGCTTTACATTTTGATATAAAGAAGTATTCTCAGCTGGAACAGACTTGTTCACCGTGATGGAGGTAAAGTTTCAGAATCAAAAGTGACCCGATGGACCTCAGCAGAGAAATGAACAGCTTGAACTTCTGAACAAGTGGAGAGCGGTTTGAGCAGATCACCTGCAGAGCAGCAGCTGTTTGGTTTAAACAACAACTCTCCAGTTTCCATGACACATAACAGAAAACCAGCGCAGTGGACCGGACCCGAGCGGCTCGCCTCCTCCTGGAACCAGATCATGAATGTTAAATGGGTCTGCAGCTGCTTCTGGCTGGTTCAGGGCAGAAAAAGGGACCAAAGAAACGAACAGATTCTGCATCCTCGGAAGTCAGCTGGCTGGAAAAGATTCATCATCTTTTTTTTTTGATCAGGCACGGATGGGCAGCTTTCCCTGGGGTCCTCTGGTGTTTTGATTTACAGAACTGGTTCATAGAAGTAAAAACCCAAAAGCATCTCAGTGATCACAGAATTCACACTTTGTTACCACAACAACACACTCAACACAGTGGAACTAAACATCTGTTTTGGATCTGAACATCTGTTTTGGATCTGAACATCTGTTTTGGATCTGAACATCTGTTTTGGACCTAATCGTGTGTTGGGTATAGACGTTTTCATCTTGTCCAATTTCCCCCAGACATTTTAACACAAAACTCTCAGACCATACCAGCATGTTTTAGATGTTATTTTAAAATAATTAAAAAAGATACTGCTTTGCTCTTTCCCATGCAGACAGTTTAAACAAATATTATCTTCATGTCTTCTGTATGAACTCGAACAGATTTGATTTAATCATCATGACAAATTTCAAGACTGCAGCTGAAGGAAAACTATTCAAGCTTGTTAAAGCTGGAATAAAAAAAGTTTTCTAATAAAAACTGAAATTCATATTTCAACTGTAGTTTTCCTCGAGTGGCTTTAACTTTATGGACTCAAAAGGAAAGGACTAAAGAGAAGAGGTTGAATAATTATCTGTTCAGTGTTTAGACAAAAACTTTTGGAAAAATTGTCTAAACTTCTCAGCATTTTAAATCCATATTAGTCTGCTTGAACTTCTCATCTCCATCAGCACAAGAATCAGAAGATGAGATAACTGCTGCTTTTCTCTGCAGAGAAAATCACATTAAATTCTCTCTTTGAGTTGGTTCAGTTCTGATTACGGTAGATTCACAACACAGGAAACTGGGACTGAGCAAAGCCAGGAGCAAGAAAATCTGTTCAAATTGCAAAAATAAAAACCTTAAAAAGTCTGGGGAAGACATCAGTGGGTTGTCCTCTGACCACAAACAGCCTGGAGTTTAACTTCTTCAGACTGCTATCCAGGTCCTCCAGGGCCTCCAACAGAAACCTGTAGACAAGACAGAACCAGTCAGAACATCAGTAAAACACAGCTGCAGCTGGAAGAAAGCGGCTGGTTTATTGATTATTGTTTATAATATGTTTATTGATACTTTCAGTCTGCTGTGGGCCTCACTATCACTTCTGCTTTATGATCTAAAAATAATAATTGTTAAATGTAACTAGACCAAATTTGACATATAAAGACATTAAAAACAGAAACACCTGGTCCTCATAGCGGTGCAGAAATTGATCTAAATGTTGCCAACCTCTGCTTTAGAGGAACAACATGACATTTTATATCATGTCACTATTTAAGAACAAAAAAAAAAAAGGATTGGCAGCTGCTAATCACCCTGAAAGTCAGACCGTGCAGTGTTCAGAGAAATGAGTTCCACCTCAGAAGCTAGGGGCCTGTTGGCAGGTTAAAGGTCAAAGGTCACGGTTTGTTTGGAGGTACAGTATGCAGAAAACCTCTTCTCTCTAAAAACAACACAGCAGCACGAGACTGTCGGACTTTTAATAGCAGTCAGCTGGTTCCGTGAACAACTTTTCTCTCGGTATGGTTACTTATCACAACATGGTTAAAAAAAAGCTAAACAACTGCAACAAAAATGATTGTGCAAAATGTAACACCACCACGTACAGCAGTTGATAATCAGATCATATGAGTGCCGAAGAAACTAGTGCATATCCAAGTTTTTTCTGAAATAAATGTCCTTCCTATAAAACGAAGACAGCGTGAGTGATACAAGGATAAACCTAAAATCGTGTGATTTCTCTTCGGAGTTCGCCGTCAAGCTCAACAGCGACTAGCTAGCTTTAGCTAACTGAGGCCCGATCCTGAACTCCGAGGGAAACAGAAAATCAAGGCAAGAAAACGAACATTTCATGAGGTTAAAACATTGTTCAACACACCTTTTAAGAAACTGGAAGTTGTAGAAGAGAAAGTTAAAAATCACAAACCTCCATCTGTTGATTCCGACGTTAGCCGCTCCAGCAAACCAGGGGTCCAGGATATAAACACAGCGCACCGTGTCGGCTCCGTTCAGGGCCTCCTGGAGAGCTGGATTATCATGCAGCCGCAGACCTTTGCGGAACCAGTGCACGGAATTCACAACCATGATGTCCTTCTAACCATTCATTAGAATGTAATCTAAAACAACAAGTAAACAGAATTCGAAAAATGAGCTGGAAATCCAAACGACTGAAAACACTTCAAAACTTTGCAATGTTTAGGGGCGTGGCTAAGAGATGGACGTAGCTTGGAAAGCACTCGGTCTCTGATTGGTCAGAATGCGACACGTCATCCGGAATTACTAAATTACAAAACCAGCCTGCTGTGATTGGCTGGTTGGGCAGACATCAGCTGTAAGGTGATGAGCTGTGTCACGTTTGTTTATATGGGATGAGAGGCTGCTCAGGTGGAGGCGCGTGCGTGGCGTGCGTGGTGTTCGGGTGATGGAGGCCAAAATAAACTGTCTTATTTTATTTCCATTCATTTTCAGACATTATAAGCGTTGAGGTCTGACTTAAGTTGACTAAATAGAAACATTTAATATAAAAGAGAAGCACAATTTGTCAAATATACAACATTCCCTGTTCATATTCAGATAAGACCACTTTTACTGCACTCTTTTGCCATCCTACTCAATATTCAATTCAAAAATACTTTATTAATCCCAAAGGGAAATTATTTGTTGTTGTAACTCGTTATCCTCATTTCATTAAGCGATATTATAGATCCTGATGGCTGTAGGCAGGAAGGATCTCTTGTAAAGGTCCATCCCACAGTGGATCCTAAGAAACTGGCTGCAGATGCCGTTCGATCCGTTCACCCAGACAATATGAGTGTTTTGGGTCATACATTGACATTGTTTCTTAATATTCATTCAACCTTTATTTAGACAGGTAAATCCCACTGAGCCCCGAGGACTCATTTACAAGAGAGACCTGATTTCAACAAAGAATGATGAAAACATTGGACAACAACGACAACAATGGACAGTTATAAAAAGGCATACCGTTTTTTTTTTTTTTTTTTTTTTTTTTTTTACAAATAAGATGGCTAAAAAAAAAAGCAACAAAAAACTAATAGACTATAAGGCGAATGTAGAAAACTAAAAACAGGAACATGTCTGCATTAGTCCTTGCCAGGAGTCCAACAGATTCTTAAAGCCACTTAGAGAGGTCAAGGTCGAGAGCTTCAAATCTTTTTGCAAGATATTCCAGGAAACAGGAGCGGAGTAGGAGAAGGCCCTTTTACCAAGTTCAGTCCTCACTGAGGGAACACTGCAGGTAATAATGTCCTGAGTGCGCACGCTGTATCCTGTGATAATGTGTATTGTTTTATATACTATTATTTTAACTGTATTTTTGCTGTAGTTTATTATTGTCATTGTTTACTGTTATTGTTGTCTGTACTTTATATGTTCTGTCTGGGACAGGTCTCTCTTGTAAATGAGTCCTTGTGGCTCAATGAGACTAGCCTGTACAAATAAAGGTTGAATGAATAAATGAATGAACATATGAGACTAAAAACTTTTACCCGTACAGCAGCAAACTTATATACACCGTCAGCACGGTGGCAGAGGGTTGATGGTTTAGGCTTGTTCTGTAATCACCGGAGACCTGGACACCTTGCAGTTAGTGATGGTCCAGTGACATCCGAGGCTCTAACAGATGCTGTTCGTGAATCAAACTGAGCCGAAGTGAGGTTTGGTCATGGGACCACCAATACCCAAAGCCTCTGAGTGCTTCGTATCTTATGAACCACCTGACTGGTTCATGTTTGTCATGTGAATCGTTTAACAAATACTTTTTTTCAGGGGGTATGGTACCCTAGCATTCAAATTTTGTTTTTTTGCAATTTCCATGATCCATTCATCGATCATCTTTACCCGCTTCTTCCTTTTCAGGTCGTAGGTTGATTTAGCCAAAATCAGCCACTATATGGGACACAAGCCAGTGTATTTCTTGTGACAGTCCCAAGCCCGAGTAAATGGTGAGGGTTGTGTCAGGAAGGGCATCTGACGTAAATCACTTTTATTAAAACTATAATGATGTTCTCTCCGTGCATGCGTGGGTTTTCTCCGGGTGCTCCGGTTTCCTCCCACAGACCAAAAACATGCATGTTAGGCTGATTGGTAACTCTAAATTGTCCCTAGGTGTGAATGAGAGAGTGAATGGTTGTTTGTCTCGTTTGTGTCTATGTGTCCCTGTGATGGACTTGCGACCCATCCAGGGTGTACCCCACCCCTCGCACAGTGACTGCTGGACATGGGCACCAGCGACCCCCGTGACCCAAAATGGAAAAAGCGGGTAAAGATAATGGATGGATGGATGGATAAAACTATAATGTGAGTTCATCATAGTAGGACAGAGTACATGTGTGTGAATGAGAGTGAGGCTGCTGGAACATTGAGGCTACAAGGAGCAGAGGTCACAAAATTGCAGGACTTCAAGTACATGGGATCCACTGTCCAGGAAAATGGGAAACGTGGTAAAGAGGTGAAAAAGTGAGTTATTGTCTGTGTGAAGTTTGTGTCCTCTACTCAGCTGCTGCAGATTTTAGAAGGATTAATCCATCCATTATTAATCCAATATAAAACAAAATAGTTAAGGTTTAGTTATAAAACATTTTATCTGGCTCACTTTGAAATTTGAAGGTTTGATTACAATTTCTGAACCTGCTTACCGTGACCATGTTAAAATCATGCTTTTATATTTTAAGTGTATTAAATGTGTGATATTGTGTAATTGAGTTATTGTAAGTAATTATAATTATAATAGCAATAGTATTTATAATAGTAATAATTGTAATTGTGAGATTGTAAATTGTGTGACACACTGTTCCATTACAGTTTATAAGGAAATTCAAAGTTTTTTAATGCTTTTAATTACAAATGATTCAACAAACTCTTGAGTCTTACTTTGTTTTAAATTTACTTCAAATTATTATCCCACATTTGTCGTTTTTAATAAATGCTGTGTGCATCGTCGAATCATCTGTTAACAAAACTTACGACAGTTTCAGCTGTACTTTGAATGCAACACTACGTTAACCAATCGGATCCTCTCAGAGTAGAGCTGCGTGATGACGTAGTATGTCAGCGTCAGTTTGATGTGTTTTTAGCTCGCGAAACGTGAGTCTTGTCAAACGCTGTATTTTGACAGAAAAAAACAAACGCTTTGAGTTTTATCCGACTGGTGATGAAAAGTTAAGTTTCTAAAATGACTTCTGAGATTCTATCAGCGATAAATATCCTCACCAGACCGTTTGGCGGTAAGTTTTTATCTAAAACATAAGCTAACCGTCTGGGGCTTAAACAACGTTTTTTTTGTTTTAAAGTTTTATTTCCTCTATTGGCAGACATTTAAAATAGATTTCCTTGTTATCCTTTAGAGGCCCTGTTGTAAGGAGACCACGTGTCTCCTAAGAGACAGTTTTTCTGTTATACACTTTGTTAAGCATGTAATTTATTTATTTTATTTTACATAATGACGTAGATCCAACCACATGTTACTTTGTCATTAATTTATTTAACGAAAACTAAGCCAAGTGTCACAAACTGAGCCCAGCTCCTGATCTAACAGAACCTCCTATAGAACCAGAACCCTCACTGGTTCTCTGTAGGACCTCACCAGTCTCTCCTGGTTCTAGAGTTCTGGCCCACTCTTCTTACCATCATTGAGGGTTCTGCTCAGTCTCTGAAGGTCCACCACAGCGTTTCAGTCAGGTTCAGGTTCTGGGCTCAGACTGGACAGTTGCAGCGCCTTGGTTCTGTTCTTTCTGACCTGTTCTGCTGTGGATCAGCTGTTTGGGATCATGGTCCTGTTGGACCCAGTTTGGTCCAAACGTCAGATTTTGGACAGATGGACTCATATCTTGGAGACTGCGACGAAGTGAAGATTCAACGAGTCTGCTGCTTCCTTAGATAGAGAACTTTACTAAGTGGCTTTTCTATGTATGTGGATGTTTCTGTAAAGTGCCCTGAGACAACTTTGTTATGAATTGGCACTATATAAATAAACTGAATTGAATTGAATTGAATTGAAACATCTCAGGAGTCAGACCATCTGCTTCGACCAGCTGGGTTTGAAAGGAACACGAAGGAGGAACAGACACTCAGTGGCAGGTCGAGAATCACATGTTGAGATAGAAATAATATCAAATGAAATCTATTCAGTTTTAACAGTTCATTTAAGGAAATTAGGTCAGTTTGTCCTCCAGTAATCTAAGCCTATGGCAGCATAATAAGCCAACCCTAACTATAGGATTTATCAAAACAGAAAGTCTTAAGCCCAGTTTTAAAAATGGACAATGTGTCAGCCTCAGGGACACAAACTGGAAGTTTGTTCCACAAGAGAGGAGCCTGATAACTGAAAGATCTTCCTCCCATTCTGCTTTTGGAAACTCTAGGGACTGCAAGTAAGCCTGCAGTTTGAGAGCGAAGTGCTCTGTTAGGAAAATATGAAACAATAAGATCTGTTTATATAAGATGGAGCTAGGTTGTTGAGAGCTTTGTAGGTTACAAGTAAGATTTTGGATTCAATTCTGGACTTGACAGGGAGCCAGTGGAGAGAAGCTAAAACTGGAGAGATATGATCTCTCCTACTAACTCCAGTTTACACATTAAGTACAGTTAAGTGCTGTATTTCTTTAGTATTTATTAGTATACTGTACTCGTGACGTGATTCAGAACGACAGCGGCGTGCGCCATGTGTGGGGGAGAGGGACTGTTGTTGACGCCTGAGCGAATGTGACTTGTGATTCGTTCACTGCAAATAAACTACATGCATCACTAAGTGAACAAAACACTCTCTGACTCCGAGTGATTCTAACCGTTTCTTCCTCGTGGGGACACACTCTCATGACGTTGGCAGTGGCATCTGTTTCTCCAAGCTAATGGCTAATGTTGAGCCAAGTCTCATGAAAATAAATGTACACACGCCCCTGTCCCCATTATCTTAACAGACTGATGTACACATAAAGTAATGGGAGGAGACAGAAGAAGAGACTCGCAGCAGGGCAAGCTGCAGCAGCGGTGCATGGGTGGTTAACCTGTACTCACACCTGTACTCCCTGCAAAAGTCGTCAGAAAGAAAGTGAGACACTGTGAGTGGAGATGAGCGAGCCAAGAAGACAAAGTGTTGTCTGGACACAATTTAATGGTTTTTCTGCTACAACTGTGATGTTTATGTATTTTTTTTATCTCCCCCAGTCTTTTTTTACGTTAAATTATAAACTCCGCAATAAATATAAAACCCTTTCTTATAGACCAGATGCTCTGTGTCCTTAATAAAGTCTCACCAACAACAGCAGAAAGAAGACTTGAGTTCGTGTTTGGAGAACGTGCTGCTTGCTGCTGTAGTGCTGTCACTCACAAACTGGCAACACAGAGAAGAGAGTCTGTCAGAGAGTGCAGGGGGGTGATTCGTTCCATGAGCGAGCAGTCCATTTGCACATGCGCACACAGAGAACTGTTGCTGAGGAGTGATTTCATGTAGTACTGTGCTGGAAGTGGCGCTGTATCGCTCACACACTGACGCACACCTACTGCACGAATAACCTGCATGAACTGAAGGATTCAGCGATCGAATCTTTTGAACAAATCACTTTAATGAACTGATCCTAGGGATTCAGTACAAACAAAATAACTCTGTTCTCGACTTATAGGAGCCCAAACCATCGGCAGCACCGTGCTGACAGCTGGGAGGAGCTGTTTGCTGCTGTGCATTCTGGGTAAACATATGTCCTTTAGTCTGGTTCTGGTCCAGAAGTCTTGTGGTTCCTTCTTATGAAACTTTCCAGACTTAAGTCCAGCTGCCATGTTGTTTTCAGAGAGGAAACTTTGACCTGATGACTTGTAGAGTCATTGCACGGTCTGACCTTCAGGGTGAGTCTTAAATGTTTCCACGTCTGAATAATTTTTATGTAGAACGATGGACTCTAAATGAACTTTGACCTTTCACAGATAGGTGGGCAGCAACAGCTTCTCTGAGGTCGTTGCTGATGTATTTTGTCCGATGTGTAACAAAATAAATGACTTCATTGGGTTGGGACCAGATGGTCCCGTCAGAACCTGTAGTTCTCGTGTGTTAGCTAATGTTGTGGTTCTCCTAAACCGTTTGACAGGGAGACAGTTTTCTGAGTGACAGTCTCTGCGTTTCTGTCTGCAGAGGCCTCTGCTCAGTCCTCGCAGCAGGAGGCCCTCCGGGTCGCTCTAGGGTCCAACAGGGCCCGCCTCCTGCAGCAGCTGCAGAGTGACAGCAGTTTCGAGGAGGTGAGGAAGCTGAGGGAGGAGGTGAAGCTGGCAGCGGACTGGTTCTGTGAGACGGAAGACGTCACGTGGAGCTTTATTCAGGAGTGTCTTCTTCTTCTCCTCGCCCTCACAAGATACTTGGCAGAAGAACTAAAGCGCTTCCAGCAGGCTCCGCCCTCCTCTGCAGGTAAACTTTGCACCCCTGAGATGGCTCCGCCTTTGCCTCCTGATGTCCTCAGCGTCTTCCAGCAGAAGACGCTCGGATCTGCCCTCCAGTTTGTTGTTTCTCTGGGACTCTGCCCCTACCTGGCCCCAGGAGTGGGGGTTCCACTGGGTCGCAGGTCTACGTTTGGTGCCATGGTGGAAACGCTGGTCCGCAGGGAGGTGTGGCCTCCAGCCGGACGCCGCCTCCTGATCACAACCAGAGTCCTGTTGCAGCTGGCGGAGCTGTCGTCCGTCGCCACGCTGGTGTTCACGCAACACCTGGGGGATGTGATGGCGGCGCTGTGTCAGCTGGGCCACCAGCCGGGCCACCAGCCGGGCCACCCGCTGGGCCACCAGCCGGGCCACCAGCCGGGCCACCAGCCGGGCCACCCGCTGGGCCACCAGCCGGGCCACCAGCTGCATGGAGACGCTGACAGGGTGAAGAACTTTTTGTTTTTCAACGTGTTAAGATGCTGAAACGTATTTGTCATTGACAGAAGCTTTGAAAGGTGAGGCGGAAACTTTTAGTGTAGAGGAGTGTTTTATTTTTAAATAATAATAATTTTTTTAAATTTTAACACTTATTAGCAGATTTTTTTTGGGTGGGTGGGGTGGGTGGGAGCTAAAGCCAAAAAAAAAATAATAATCTGATTTGTTTCCAAAATTTATCCACATTATTTCTCTGCTGATCACTTGTATACAAACGAAACATTTATTTAAAAGAATAAAATATATTTTTATTATAAATAAAAATAAAATTTATCCCTTTTTTAAATCTGTCCAGAATGTTTTTTTTTTCTTTTTCTGATTTCACGTTTTGTACAATCTTTATATTATTGATTTTTCAAGCTTCTGTGCAAACATGCTGGGACATTTTTAACTCAGGATTTATTTATTTATTGGACTTAATTATTTAATTTGTTTAATTTAAAAACATTTTCAAAAAGGTTTTTTTCTCCTTACCCTAAAATAATTTATTAAAAAATTTCTAATAGGAAAATTAACATAAAAATACTTTATCTTTAATAAACTGCTATTTTTTTCTTTTATTTGTTATTTTTATAATAAATTCAGTATTATTAATAATTATATTCCCAGCAGAGCTGAGATTAGGAGGTTTTATTGCTGACTAATGTGTAATCACAATACTTTCATGAGATATCTGAGATGCTTAAAGTCAGAAACTCAAACCATTTCCTTGTTTTTCCATGTGCAGCCGCTCAGTTCTGACGAGCGTCGGGTCTGCAGAGAGGACCTCAGGAACCTTCTGGGAAACGTCTACCAGCCCATCGTCATCAAGGAGCTGCTCATCCTCCAAGGTGGACCCAAACAGGTTGTCAGAGAATATTGTTTTTGGTTGTTTCCACATTTAGGCATGCAGCCGTCGTCAGAGTCAAGTGTTCTGATTCCTGACATCCACACGTCGATTAAAATTTACTCTTAAAACAATCTGTCGTTCTGAGCAGCTGAACTGTTTTTCTGACCTTTGTGCTGCAGCTCAGGTGTGCATCCCTGATTTGTAAAATTCATGGATCCTCAGCTCAGGTGTTTTGTCTCGTGTTTTTCTCTACAAGCAGAAGAAAAGAGGAATTTTTGAAGTTTAACTGCTGCAAAATCAAGTTTAATTTTGTCGAATTTAAATAGTTAAGTTAAAAAAAAAAGAGTTCCTGGGATTGTTTTCTGATTATTGTAGCAAATGAATCTCGGAGGCTTTGCGTCTCTTCATGCTGTCACGTTACTCCACATACATTTCAGTTGAGAACCGTTCAAAAATTCTCCTCTCCTCTTTTTAAGTCCGGTCCAGGTGGTTCCAGCAGCAGAGCGGGTCCAGGATCAGCTCCGGCCTGGCTCAGGCGTCTGTGCGGTCAGCTGCTGTCTGAGCGTCTGATGCAGCCCAGCGGCGTCCAGGCGGTCGTCAGAGCCGTCCTGGAGGGAGGAACAGGTGAGGGAGGAGGAGCAGGGAGGCAGGTGTAAGGGGCAGGAACATCACGGAGTAATGATGTGAATGCTGAGTCAGCACTTTGTTTTATTTTAATCCTTCATAAATCAGAACCAAGCATCAATTCAAGTCCCATGATTTTTAGTTTTGGTTACTTTCATACTTTTTAAAAGTATTTAACTTTATAAATCCTCGTTGGCACACTGGCTCTGTTTGTCTCTTGTGCTCATTTTAGCCTCAGCAGTCCAGGTTTAGCTTCTTCAGCAGGTTTCAGCTTCTTCAGTGGGTTTCAGATTCTGCAGTAGGTTTCAGCTTCGTCAGTGGGTTTCAGATTCTGCAGTAGGTTTCAGCTTCAGCGGGTTTCATATTCTTCAGCAGGTTTCAGTTTCAGCGGGTTTCAGCTTCTTCAGCGGGTTTCAGCTTCTTCAGCAGGTTTCAGCTCCTTCAGCAGGTTTCAGCTTCTTCAGAAGGTTTCAGCTTCTTCAGCACGTTTCAGCTTCTTCAGCACGTTTCAGCTCCTTCAGGTTTCAGCTTCTGCAGTAGGTTTCAGCTCCTTCAGCAGGTTTCAGCTCCTTCAGCAGGTTTCAGCTCCTTCAGCAGGTTTCATATTCTTCATAGGGCTTCAGCGGGTTTCATGTTCTTCAGCAGGTTTCGTGTTCTTCAGCGGGTTTCGTTTTCTTCAGCGGGTTTCAGCGGGTTTCAGCTTCTTCAGCGGGTTTCATGTTCTTCAGCGGGTTTCATATTATTCAGCGGGTTTTAGCTTCTTCAGCAGATTTTAGCTTCTTCAGCAGGTTTCAGCTTCTTCAGCGGGTTTCATGTTCTTCAGCGGGTTTCGTGTTCTTCAGCGGGCTTCATATTTTTCAGCAGGTTTTAGCTTCTTCAGCGGGTTTCATATTATTCAGCGGATTTCAGCTTCTTCGGCAGGTTTCAGCTTCTTCAGTGGGTTTCATATTTTTCAGCGGGTTTTAGCTTCTTCAGCAGGTTTTTTCTTCTTCAGCAGGTTTCTGCGCTCACTCTACTGCACAGAACATGCAGTGTGAAAGCGATTGAAAGCCTTTTCAGATTTCTCTCTGCAGAGCTTAAATTGTTCAGGAAAACCTAAAGCATATTCTTTTAGCTGTTGCAGTTTGCTTCACTCATTAGTTTGAGATCAGAGTTTAAATCGGTTCTCCAGACTGAAGTTCTGTTTGTTTCCTGCAGGAGGCGCCTCAGACTGGAGGAAATGTGACGCTGTGGCGAGGATCCTGTCGGCCTGCCCCCAACAGTCCGCCTCAGCTGACGAGTACTTTAAACTGGTCTGTCCTCAGGTCAGCCATGTTTGTATTTCGGACGTTCTGTAGAAGAGCTGCAGGTAGAACCGGTAGAGACATGTCAGCTCTCAGTGAGTGAAAGCAAGTGTTCTGCTCCAGGTGCTGGACCTCCTGCACTTCAGAGACAAACTGACAGCCCAGCAGTTCCAGAGAGTGGCCACCAGGACGGCGCTCTCCATGGTGCAGGAGAGGCCCGGCTTGGCTCGGCAGTACCTGCTCGGCCCGCTGCTGTCCCCTCTGGAGCGATGCATCGACACCTCCTCCGGTCAGCAGTCTCTCCATCACTGTGACGTTTGTCAGGCTTCACGGAGTTTCTGCACACGAAGTTACAAACGTACAGAAAAATTCTAACGTAGTGTTAAAAACAACCTGAAAATACAGAGATGGGAAGAAACTGAATGTTTTTCAGAGGGACAATAGAAATGTGGATTAGAAGGTGACCGGTCCAATCAGAAGTCCGTTTCGGTTTGGCTGCCGTCACTCCAGGTTCTGGAACTGAAACAGAACTTTTTTTCAAGAGTTTTTGGAATATTTACGTAGTTAAAGCTACTCACTGCAACATATGAAATATTAAAATGTTTATCCTCAGACAGTAAAGCTTGACAGTTTACTCTGGCAGGTTTAAAACTATAACATAAAATTCAGAATGAGGGTCTGCGCTCAGTGTAAACAACGAGTCGAACCACAAAGAAGCTGGAGTCACATGACCCTGCTTCATCAGGATGCCTGTAGTCTGTACACAAACACACTTCAGCTGTTTTTGCAGGTAAACAAACACACTTCAGCTGTTTCTGCAGGTAAACAAACACACTTCAGCTATTTCTGCAGGTAAACAAACACACTTCAGCTGTTTTTGCAGGTAAACAAACACACTTCAGCTGCTTCTGCAGGTAAACAAACACACTTCAGCTGTTTCTGCAGGTAAACAAACACACTTCAGCTGTTTCTGCAGATAAACACACTTCAGCTGTTTCTGCAGGTAAACAAACCCATGGCAGTTTGCAGTCGATCACAAACTTTAATTTAGCGACACATAAATTATGGATATGAGGAAATTTTTGCATAGATGTTGTTTCGCACCTAGTGTGTGTGTGTGTGTGTGTGTGTGTGTGCGCGTGTGTGTGTAATTAATATTTTGAACTGCTCTTCATGTTGCAGTGAGTGTCTTTAAACAAGGAAATGTTTTCACGACTTCTGGAGCATTTTTCTTCTCCGTCAGATTTCTCAGCACGTTTCTCTTTGTGAAAGTAATTTATTATTTTCTATCATAAGTGTGTTTTACAGCTGGAACCTCTGGAATGGTTCTTTAAAACTGCTGTTTGTTTTCAGCTGCAGGGGGCTCGGAGGTCGTGGTGGAGGAGTCTGAGCTGACCCGTTGTGTGGACGACGTGTTCAAGGTGAGCTTAAATTCAACTCAACGCTTGAAGCAGAGCTGTGTCGACAGTTAACAGTCCAGTTTCAATTGAACCCAGTTCGACAGGAAACAGGATGTTTGTTTTAAGGCGACTTTATTTAAACTTCAGTCGTGTTTCTTGTTCCTGGTCGCCGTCAGATCTGGGTGGTCGGAGCGTCCCCATCAGAGACTCTCCTCGCCGCGCTCCAAGACGTCCTTCCTGTCGTCTTCACACTTTTCAGTTTCACCAAACACAACGTCTCCCACCTCCGGTAAACATTTGTTCTGGTTTTGTTTTGATGCTTTTTTGTGCCGTAGATTAGAACTTCCTGGAGGAGGAAATCAGGACCTCAACTCTGGGAATTTATGACGAGAAATATTATACAATAAAAATCAATGCAACGAGAAATTAAAGACCGTTTGTAGAGTTTCAAAGTTTTACATTTTCATTCAGACGTGCCACTCTGATAAATCAGATTCAGATTATTTTAGGAAAAGCAAAACAGGATGGTTCATAAAGTAAAACAAATAGTTTTCTGTGTTTATGTAGTTAAAATCTGATGAGTTAAATAAACAAGTATGAAAAAAAGAAAAAGAAATAATCACTTAAGCTTTTTTCTGCTTGCATTAGATTATTGTATTTCTGTTTGAGGAAATATTTTATTTGTCCGTTGCTCTTATTTTTTTAAACCCGTTTTCTTCTTTTTTTTCTTTCAAGTAAAAACAAAAGTTTCTTATTAATTTATTTAAATAAGTGACAGTATAAATTAATCAGAATAAACAGGGTAAAGTGTAAATGTATGAGTTAGCTAAAGTCTAATTTTCAAGTCCTTTTGTCTGAAAGGATGCGCTCCGAATAAACATGGAAACAGCAGGTTAGTTGGATTAAAACAATAAAATATAAATACAAACAGCATTTCGTGCAGTGTCTCCTTTAGAAAAACAAAATGTTTTCTGTTCCACTTGAAGTTAATTATGTGTGACCTGTGTCCTCTGCCCTCCAGCGCCCCCTGTCAGGAGATCTTGTTGTGGTTCCTGACTCATTCCGAGTCGTCTGCAGCTCTGTTGGTCCTGCGGCAGCTCTCAGGTCTGCAGGAGCGAAGGAAGGACGTCGCAGCGGACCTCCAGTTCTCTGCAGGAAGTGATGGCGGCGTCAGGCTGGTCTGCAGACAGAGCTGCAGGTGGCGACACGCAGCGGGCACGTCCTCTGATTGCTTATCCACCTGTGTGTGACTCACCTGCTGTGTCTCAGGGATGAGGACGATCAGCTGTATGAGAAGCTGTCGGGGGAGCAGTGGAGGCTGGAGTGTCTGACGCAGCTGCTGGCTGAACTCAAGGAGAGCGACCTGCCCGGGGATTTTTTCCTGGCCCTGCTGAAGGTCAAAGTTCAAGTTAATCTGAAGATTAGACATCTTCCAGGTAAAGTGGTTTGTTTACGTTTGACCTCAGCTGACGTCACTCCTCCTGCAGGATCTGACCACGTGGGCGGCCACCGCGGACGAGGAGCTGAGGGACGAAGAGCAGGTGGATGTGGCAGCCATGACGCTGCTGGAGGCGGAGCATCGGCTGCTGGGCGGAGCTGAGAGGCGAGCGCGCAGACTGGCTCTGCTTCAGGTGGTGGCTGTGATGATCGAGTGTCTGCAGCACACCCAGCTGCTGAGGAAGACCTCGCAGGTCAGCAGAGACGAGCAAAAATCAAAAACCATCTTTATGGATGAAAGATAAAAACCCAGATGTGGAGCGAGGGCCACAAAAAACAAATAACTCACGATAAGGGAAAAAAATAGATGGAAGACAAATAAGACGTCTTGATTCATGCTCGATAATCCAGGTAGATAAATCTATCAAAGTTAAATCAGGTCCTCTGCACAGATTCTGTCCAGAAGACCTGATTTAACCTTGATAGACAAATAAGACACATTAAATTTAAGCCTCATAGAAAATAACGGCTGTATGAATTATTTTATTAGATCAGAAATTGATTCCTGCTGAGAAGGAATGCTTATCACCCGCTGCCTTTCACAGCAAAGTTTTTACCAAAGCTCTCTCCAGGTCTGTTGGTGACTCTCAGCTACTACCACTCAGAATTAACTCATGTCTAAAAACGGCTGAGCTGTCGACATTTTAACGTTTGCTAATGATGATCAGCTGTGGTAAAGGTCAAAGGTCATGCAGGGCAGTTAAGTGTGTCTTTCTGCAGGTGGTGGACTTCATGGTGTCCTTGCTCCAGAGAGCCTGTGTCGGTCTGGACGTGTCCTCGGAGCCGGGCGCTGGGAACCCAGTGGAGACCCAGACTCTGAGCCTGGGGATGGGTCTGATAGCGACTCTCCTGTCCTCGCCTCAGGTACTGAAGGTCCAGATGTTTATCCTGAGTCTGATTCAAATATTTATTCTAACAACACATTTAGTCTGTGGGACAAATTCATCTGTAAAATTTTCCAGTTCTTCGTGTCCAGACATTCCTAAAAGTCCTGGTGTCTCCTCTGTGACCTCTCAGCTCAGTGCCGAGGATTACTCCTGCATGTCCAGGCTGCTGCCTCATCTGCAGACGCTGTCTCTGCAGCACCCCGACCCGCTCGTCCAGGAGCTCTCCTCCAACCTCAGAGCCGTCATCGCCACTCACGGCGCTTACCGGCCCGAAGACCTCGCTGTTGCCGGTGCGGATGCTGGCCAGAGCTCCAAACACAGTGAAACCACGCCGGAGATGAGGAGTGAAGGAAACACCTCGCAGACCTCTGTCAGAACCAACAGCAGACACGCAGAACCCTCCCAGCATCCTGGTCCGAAAGGTGACCCTGACTCTTCCAATAAGCCCTTCTCTGATTGGCTGTTAGAGGCATGTGACCCAGATGTGCCAACCAGAGCGTTCGCCTTGAGGATCCTGACTCAGAAGGTGCAGCGCAGAGACCTTGAGGCTGTCCAGGCTCAGGAGAAAGTCCTCCTGGTTTGTAGTTTTGTTTGGCTCTCTGTTGTTTGTTTTAGTTTTTATAAATAACAAACATGTTGGACTGTAAACAGAATGTATCTTCATAAAAAGTCACATGGTTTCAGCTGATCCTTAGGTCCTCCTGCTGATGTTCGGACCTTCATGATGGTCCTGATCCGAACATCTGGAGAACATTGTCATGAACCTTTAGAGTTCATGTGAAACAAGCAGCTGGATGTTCCTGCAGGAGACTCAATCCATTTATCCATCTGTTCTTCCTGTCAGCTGAGCATCCAACCACACATCCAACCTTCTGCCCGTCCATCAGCTCGCTTCAGCTGCTTTAATCCATGACCTGGTTCTTTCAGTCCTGATCTGAACTTTGTGAACAGAGGTGAGGGTTGGACCATACATGTGCCAGTAAATCCAGAGTTTTGTGCTTGAGCTTAGATCCTCTTTTATCACGATAGACCGGAGCAACACCCTTATTACTGTAGATGAAGCTCTGATCTATCATCCCGTCCTCCATCTTACCATCATTCAGGAACTAGACCTCCAGATACTTGAACTCCTTTACTTGAGACAGGAACTGCCTGACCCGTTTCTGGTTCACGTCCATGTCCTCAGACTTGGAGATCTGATGCTGAAGATCCTGGCCCGAAGACACAAACAGAACCACATCATCTGTAAAAAGCAGAGACGAGATCCTGAGGTTTCTGAACCAGAAGCTGTTCTCTGAGATCCTGTCCACAAAGACCAAAAACTGATCCGACAAAGGAACAGCCCTGCACCTGGAACAAGACGTGGACAGAGCTCTTGATTTGGTTCTACAGGGACCGGATGGACCCAAAAAGTGATTTTAACTCCCCATACTTCTTCAGCAGCCCCAAAGAAAGCGTAGAAAACACCGACCCAAACCTTCTCCAGATCTACAAAACCCCTCATGAGCTCCGATCCAGTCCAAGCGGGGACTAAATCCACACTGCCCGTCCAGAATCTGAGGTTCTTCAGTTGGTCAGAACCTCCTGTTCTGAGGAGGCTGAGCAGTGACGTTCCTGACAGCTACAACAAACTCTCCTGTCCCACTTGTTAAAAATAAAGACCCCCACCCCGGTCTGTTCCCTCCTCGTGGTTTCTGCTCTGAATGAGTTCAGCTGGTTCTGGTTCTGTCTGAGCCTCCCGGGACGTTTATAATAAATGAGCCGGTCGAAGCTCGTCCTCACTGCTGCTCCCCTGGGGGCTTGTTAAGGCCGTCTTGTTAGAACAGATACCCCCTACTCCATCTCATTCATCATGCTTTTTGACCAGAACCCCCACTGGACCATCAGAACGACCCAGTATTGATTTTTCTTCTGATCTGTCAGGTTCAGATCCCTAGTTCTGCAGGCCGCGTTGGATCAATATTTGTTTTATTCTCTTTGATATCTGTGTTTACTGTCGGATCAGCTGTGAATCATTTATTGTTCTGTCTGCAGCTCCTCCTGGAGAACCTGGAGCACGAAGACCCATTCGTCTACCTGTCAGCCATCCAAGGTAACGGCCCGGCTGCACGACCCACTAACGGCGAGCTCAGCTGACGGACTGACTGAACTGTCTGCAGGTCTGGCTGTTCTGGCTGAGTCCTACCCCGACCGCATCCTGGAGAGGCTCCTGAGAGATTTCCAGCTCGGACCCTCGCTCCCTTCGCTCGACAAGGAGCGCTCGCTGGAGACCCGGCTGAAGGTGGGAGAGGTCCTGATGCGGGCGAGCCGGGCCATGGGTGAGCATCAGAATGGGTCCAAACCCGTTTATGGTTCCAGATAAAAGTTAAACAAGGTCTTTGCTTGTCCGGGCCACTACTCCTGGTCCGCTCAGGATAATGGAGTGTCACAAACACGTTTCATCACCACAGCTCCAAGGTCACAAATCAAGGTCAAAGTTAAAGCAAGGTCTTTGCTATAGACATCTGCATGATAGTTTGTTGATAGGTGTATAACATGTCGTATGCAGGACTCTTGTTCATTAGTGTTTTAAGTCGTGCGCTGGACGTGAAACGAGCTCGTTAAACTTTCAGCTGTTTTTATTTCTACAAAGAGTTAAAATCTGGAAACGCTGCAGGAATAATTTGACATGCAGATAAGTTCTTGTGAGTTGGACTTTTATCAGCACACATACACAGTTCAGTCTTGTTTCCCTCATTGATCAGAGGGAGCGCTGTGTGGTTGGTATTTTCTGTTTCTCCCGCTCAGCCCGGGTCAGTGTGCCAGAACTGCACGGTGTCGTTCCTGCAGGACAATCGGGGGGTTTATATCTGTGCACAGAAACTGGACCGAGCGTCGGTTTGCTGCACAGAAACGCAGAAAGCTTCTGTGTTTCCCTCAGATCGTTTCTGCCAAGCTGCGTCTGATTTCAAACAAGAAGGTTTTCTGAACCGACTCGGGTTCAGCAGATGGACGTCTGGCTCCATCTGGGTTCTCTTTTACTCCCAGTTTGAGGACTCAGAGCCTTTGGACTCTCAGGTTTATGAAGAAAAATGGTAACGTACACAAGAACAGATCCGCACATACCCAGTTCTTACCTGGTGCTTACCTGAATTCATGATATTCAAACTCCATATTCTTGGTTTTTACATGATTTATTCTGTTACAGACTGAGTACTTAACTGGTATGTACTGATTATGCACCAGGTACAATGAGGAAAATAAGTAATAAATAAATAAATAATTTTTTAAAAATCGTACATTGTGATTTCCGGATTTTCACAGTGGACATGCACCCAAGATGAAAATTTCAGATCCCTCCATGATTTCTAAGTGGGAGAACTTGCAAAGTCGCAGGGTGTTCAAATACTTATTTTCCTCATTGTACTTGCATAGTATATGCCTGGTACATACCATGAATGTAACTGGTATGTACCGGTAATTATAGTTTGTACCATCTAAGTATCTGGTACGTATCCGGTACAAATCGAGTAAATACAGTGTAAATACTGGGTAAGTACCATTTTTAAGTACCAGGTATTTACACAACTCTTACCTGGTATGTGCCAGGTACCTAAATGTTATGTATTAAATATGTAAATCCAAAACGAATATGGAAAGCGTAACGGCTTCAGAACAGACGTCCAGTTTTTGTCTTTAACCTTTTCTTGGACTGATCATGGTCTGGATGACTGAGAATCTTCACCAGCTTATTAAATGTGTACCAGGTAAGAACCATGTTAAGTACCTGGTTCTTACCTGGAATATATTTCCTGCATGTACCATGTAATGACCGGTACCTGCCTGGTACCTGTCAGGCTCTGGTTTCTGTTCCTACCAGAATACGTTTTGCTCTGAAGGAGGATGAAGGACGTTTACGAGACGTAGACCCAGATCAGATTTCCTGTCTGCTGAGCCTCAGATCCGGACGCTGCGTTTGGGTTTCTGGATCATGTTGTTCCCACAAACCGGCCCAGTTTCAGTTCTAGCACCGTGTCAGCTGGTTTCTCGCTCTCCGTGGAGGATTCTGGGTTGAGCGCCGCTCGTCAGGAGGAGCAGCTGCAGTCGGCTCTGTTGTTTGTGATGAAGCTAACCCAGCTGGTGCCCGACCACATCTGCTCCGTCTGCAGCAGCATGAAACCTTCCTCGGATGTTCTGCTGCTCCTCCGTTCCATCCAGTCTGAATAATTTAGAAATTAAAACATGTTTTTATGACCAGATGTATTTAAATTATTATATGTTTGTTTCAGGCAGATTGTGAACAGAAAGAGCTAAAACACAAAAACAAGAAATTCAACCAACGTCCTAATGACCAGGTCCAAACCGTCTGCCTCTTCCTTCTTCAGGAGAAATGGCGCCCCACCTGGGCCGTCCTCTGGTCAGCGTCTTCCTGCAGGGAACCAAGGATCCGGATCAAAGTGTCCGAGCCAGCAGTCTGTCCAACCTGGGAGAACTCTGTCAGAGACTGGACTACTCTCTGGGGCCGCTGGCTCAGGAGGTGAGGTGGAAACGTCTAAAACCCAAATGAAACGTCTGTAAGAAGCTGTTTTCGCCAACAACACTGGACTTCATTCAGATCATAAACAACAAAGTTCTGTTGGATGATTCAAACACAGAAACGTTTTCATCACAACCACTAAGAGTTGATTTGAGTTTTAGTTTCATCTTTCAGCAGCAGATTCTGCTCCGAGTGGAATCAAACTACACATAAGCTAGATTAAAAAATAACACTAATTGATGTTTCCACTTCCTGCTCCTGACCGAAGTCAGAAACGGTTCAGGTTCTGAGTGTTTTACTGATTTAAGGTTGATAAACGTCACAGCTATCATCTTCAATTCATGTTGTTCCTCGTGACTGGACCTGTGGACGGTAACGAAAGGTTCTGTGTCTCTGGATGTGTTTGTGCAGCTGAGCTGCTGTCTGACGGCTCTGATAAAGACGGAGCAGGAGGCCGAGGTGAGGAGAGCTGCGGTCCACGTCATCGCGCTGCTGCTCCGAGGCCTCAGCCACAAAACCACACAGGTACCGAACACACACCTTCTGCAGACTCGCACAGCAAGGCAACACACACACATTTCAGCAATCGCTTTACGCTGGAAGTCCTTCCTGGCCCCGTCTGGGCTCGAACCTGCAGCCTCAGGGTTACGAGGCTGTGGCACTGACCGCTGAGCTACTGCATTTTCATCCTTCAGTGGGCAGCTGTCCTGGTTCTGTTCAGATCAGTCATGAGCTCATCAGTCCTGCCAGAATAAAACTTATTTCACCAAAATGAGGGGGTTAGATATTTACAGCAGGTAAGATATTAATTATTTATACGTTTTCCACAGAGAACTGTTTTTCTGTTTTATTTTAAGATATTTTTTGTGGCTCCAGTTTAACTTAATATTTAACTTTAACAGATAAATGTTGAAAAACAACCAAATAACCTTTTTTAGTCTAAAAGTGTCGGAGGAACGTCTGAAAATATTCAGAATGGCTCTTTAGACGTGAACTTTGACCTGGATTTGGGCTTCGAGTCTCTCGAGGATACCTGCATGAATCACAGAGCAGAACCTCCTGACGGTTTATGCTGTCCCACCTGAGCTGGTGGCAGGTGGGCTCTCAGGCGTCTTCAAAGACCCTGACAGCTCCTGTAATCTGCTCGTCTCTGAGATTACAGACTCACCGTTTGTTTATCGCCGAGACAAAACTCATCCTGAAGTTCTGACGTTCTTCAGCCTGAAGACGGTTCTGCTCAGGTTCTGCCGCTTCTGAGAACTCCAACGGGCTCGGAACATTTTCAGGTCTGGAAACAACGAGCTGAGAAATAAATCCACCAGATCAGACGAGGCATCAGGAACAGTTTTCACCTGCAGATAATTTTTCATTGAATCTTCTTCATATTTTATAAAAAATGTTACCCACTTTTCATTTCTGGGTTACTGGTGTCCATATCACTGTGAGAGGTGGGGGACACCCTGGACAGGTCTCAGTCCCTCACAGAGACTCACGGAGACAAACAACCACTCGCACTCAGGGACAGTTTAGAGCAGAGCTCTGCAACCTTCATGATCAAAGGAGCCATTTTTACACCTTCACTAAATTAAACGTGTCCAGAGCTGCAACAACCTGCTACAACTGGTATCAACTGGTGGCCCATGGGCCACTTTAGGTTTGTTGAAGGAGACTTTTGTGGCCGATAGGGGTGACATTATAAAGCTAAAAATATCTAATGATTTTTAACATTTATTGATATTATTACACTTTAAGACAAATGAAAACACCAGATTCTTGTAAAGAGATGGGAAAAGTTTTTTAAATTAAAAAAAACAACCTATGAGCTATTCAGACCTATGTATTTTTTTATTGTGAGAAAATAATTAAATATTAAAATAAAGCAAAAAATTAAAGTATTTGCAAAAGAAATGACATGAAAACAGCTAAAACTAGTACTTTTTGTAGTTTGTAGAACGACCGATAAAGTTCAGTTTTAAGTTCGTTTTGGTCACAGCTTGAACGAGCCGCTGTGGAAGAACCAGAGAGCCGCGGGTTGCAGACCCCTGGCTCAGCGTTACCTGTGAACCTAACTTGGAGGTTTTCAGGGAGCGGCAGGAAACCGTCGGGGAGAACGTGTAAAGTTGTAAACTCCACCCTGAAAGGCGGGGACGCTGCGACCACACCGAGACGTAAAATTAGGACTTTTTGTGTCTGAACTGAGACAAATAAATTAACAGTAAACTTCATTTGCAGGAGTGTTGTGGTTTGTTCAGTCCAGAATGATCCGATTTGATGTGCTCACCTGGGTTCTTGTGTTGGGATGTTTTTATGTTTACCTCGTTGCCACGGCACGTTTTGTTTTTGTTTAATAATCAAAGAGTTTAATTTTTCATATTCCTCGAGTCAACTCTGCTTTCTTGGGTCCAGACATTTATCAGTTTCTCTCGTGTCTTCGACGTCTCAGCTCAGTGAGAAACCAACAAACAAAGCAACTGGACTTTGATTCTGTAGCTGAAGACATCCCCCCCCCCCCCCCCCCCCCACATCAGCACCTACCTGTAGCTGTCAGCAGCTGCTGCCTCTGGTGTGGTGAAGTTCTGCAGCTGCTGGTCTCAGTCCAGGTCCTGTCATTACCTGGAACAGCTGGACTGAACCAGTTAATGACACGCAGAGAGAGGTGAGGACAGGACAGGAAGGACGTGGCTCTGCAAGACCAAAGACCTGGGTCTGGGACTGGGTCAAAATGGGTCAGGAGGAATGGGGGGTGGAGGAGACGGGACACTAACCGGGTTTCTTTTACTAAAAACATAAAGATCAAACATCACTGAAGTCTCCCTCTGTGTCTCCTTCAGGTCCTCAGTGAGGTTCTGTTGGACCTGTACCGGGCCCTGAAGTGGGTGGTCCGCTCCGACCCGGACCAGGTGGCGGTTCTTCATGCTCAGCTGGCTCTGGAGGAGCTGGACGACATCATGAGGAGCTTCATCTTCCCGGAGCAGAAGCTGGAGAAGAAGATTGTCGTCTTGCCGTAGAACTCGTCTTTTTTGGCTCTGCAGGGTCTCCTTCAGGGTTTCAAAGGTTCTCCGCCTTCAGGAGAACTCTGGACCAGACACTTTGACCCAAACAAGTTCATGGACAAAAAGACAGCGGTTCTGGTAAAACAATAAAACAAACACCTCAAAGGAACACTGGAAGCCAAAAGACGTGTTTAAAACCAAGCCGATCTGTTTTTGTAAAGTCCCGGTCCTCCTGCTGGGCGGGACGGTTTTAAGCAGTTTGGTGGGTCTGGGTCCAGATCTGGATCAAAGCGCACTCCTACAGCTGGTCGCAGTCGGACCCTCGGAGTTCAGACGACTCAGACTTTTCACAAAGTGAACGACAACAGGACCTTTTATTAATGAGTTATTCTTGACGTTATAAAACTTAATTAAGCATTATTAAGCATTAATACATCAGTAATAAGACTGATTTTACACTGAAGCAGGCTCACTATTTGGCAAGAGACGAGTCAGGATTGTTTCGTATTTAATGCACTGAAATTGCTAATTAACGCTTTATTAAGTGTTTATTACCCGTTTATAAGGAGGAGGTTGTGTTTGAAACCAGGTGTCACAGAAAATAAAAGGTTAAATTAATATTTTATCACATTCATAAAGTTTCGCACCATCTGAACTTTGTTAAAAAGTAAAGTGACCGAACTGCAGGACTCGTTTGAAACGACTTCCTCTCGCCTCGTTCTGAAGAAACTGTTCTCGCACCTGCTGCAGGTAAACGAACCGATCCAACGTCCAGGTGCTGCCGAGGAAACGGTCCTCGTTTAAAGAACGCAGCGAGGTCCAGACCAGAACCAGACCTGCTTTTAATGCAGCAAGGTCCAGATCAGAACCGGACCTGGGTTTAATGCAGTGGCCCCTGAGGGCCTCGTCCTTTGAGCTCAGATTTCTACAGATTCTTCTAATCTGTGGATCAGATTATGAACTGGAGATGATGATTAGTTTTTATTCTGGACCTATATTCTGAAAGAGTCCCTCTGGTTTTAGACAGACTCCTGAACCTCTGCCCATCTTTACTTTTTTCATTCATTCAACCTTATTGATACAGGTTAATCCCATTGAGCCTCGGGGACTCGTTTACAAGAGAGACCTGAAAAAACAACTTCTCCCAGTCTCTGACTGACCTGCTGATGATTCACCTCATCAGGTCCTGAATGTTGCTTCTGATCCGACCTCTGACTCTTCCAGATGTTCAGCTGCCATCAGATTGAACATTCATTTATCTACGTTCAGTTTTCTGCTGTTCAGTCTTTGATCTGTCAGTGAAGTTCTGTTGTGAATAAATTGTTTGTGAGTTTTGTAAATGATTATTTTCTTTTTCTCTCAGCGTTGATCGAGCGCAGGTCGCAGATTAAAACGAGGTCTTTTTGTCAGATTGTGAAGAACGCTGGAGTTCCTGGCAGGAGCTGCCCGGCGGTTCCTGCAGAAAATGTTTGCGTTGTGTAGATCTTCCTCCGTGCTTCGTTTTGTCCTCACGTGAAACATTTCTCTGTTTCAGAACGAGACGCTTGGTGTGAAACATGTTGCAGGTTTTCAGAGGGAGGCGGGTCCATCAGAGTCTGGAGCTGAAGCTTCGGCAGGATTGATTCTGCTGCAGTTTGTCCGACTCGCAGGACGTCAGCAGCTCAGCCTGGTGGGGGGGGTTAAATAAGACCCATAAAGGGATGCTTTGAGTCAGCTTAGGAGGAGAGGGGGGCTCTGCTCTAACAGCCCCTGGCTGCTTGGAGAATGTGGCTGCATTGCAGAGAGACAGTGATCAGGTTGGGGGGGTCCGGAGACAGGAGGAGGAGGATTGGCTGAAGGAGGAGTGGAGGAGAGGCCGGTCAAACGGGACGGAGGAGGACCCAGGTTCTGATGCTGAGAAGAGGAGCTGGAACACAAAACAGGTCTGAAGAGGAGGCAAAGACCCTATGTTGGCCCCCGCCAGACCTCATGTCCAGGACTCGGGACCCAGTATGGAGACCACCTGAGACCAGACGAGCTGCAGCCTGAAGACTGCAGCAGCATCAGCTGCTGGCTGAACCCCTCAGATCAATCTCTGCTGGAGGGGGGTCTTCATGCTTCGGGACAGAGACAGGAGGAGGGGGAGGGAGGGGGCCGGCCCACAGGCGTGGAGGAGGGTGGAGGTCTGAAGCTGTATTTTTGGATGTGGGATCTCCTGAATTAAGTGAGCGAGTTGGAATAAAGATTTAGTGTGAGGGGGGGGGGAGGGGGGTGGGGAGAGAACAAGGAGAGTGCTGTGCTGAGGGGAGGGGGGAGGGCTGGACGTCCCGGGTCCACAGACTCAGACCTGGGGGGAGACGGAGACAGAGGGTCCACTGGATCAGGAAGGTAAGAGCTTTAATAAAAATCTAAAAATGTTCACGTTTTCTTCTGAGGCTCAAAAATGATCAAAGATTAAAAAAAAGAAAAGTTTGAAGTTTTCAGGTAAAAACTGAATGAATGACGGTTTCAACCTGGAACAAACCACAGCTGGACACAATGTGAGCTTTAATGTTTGACTTGAAGATGGTTCAGTCTGGAGTTCTGTGGCACCTTTTCCAACCAGAACCTTCCTGGACCAACACCGTTCAGCCTGTTAGAGCTCAGGAGGAGAAAAACCTCTGAAGAGTTTGAACAATTATTAATTCAATGCTTTTTTATTCTTCAAGTATTCTTCCAGTACTGACTGGTCCGTCATCCTGGTTCTGGTTCATGAAGGTTCTGTTTGATCTCACACGTCAGAACTTTTAGGTCCCAGTTGGAAAACTTGACTTAATTTCCTCCAAAGGTCGCAGCTGGTGCAGAAAATGACATTTCCTGTAAAAAAACTTTATAAACTTTAATAAACAATAATTATTAGTTTTAACTTTACAAGTTTTAACTTTATAGTGTTTAAGGACTTTGATCCGTGATGAGGATGACTGATGACTGGCCTGCTCACAGGAAGTGGGCGTGTCTAAGTCAGATGGAAACATCTGATTGGCTGAAGCAAGTTTTATTTGCAGTAATTCAAATTTAGAGCTTTTATTAAAAAATGAGGATGAGGCCGTTTTTACTTTTACCAGAAAATATTTAAAGCCTCATAAAGTGATGGTTTTCGTGTTTTAAAGTGGAGTTCTGTCTAAAATTATTAATAGTTTATATGTTACTTGGTACAGATGAAAAAAAAGTTTAAATATGTCTGAACTGACGAGCTTAATGGCTAGTCTGGTTTTCAAATTAGAGCTTTTCCTCACTTAACTACCAAATCATCATCATCATCATCAGGTTCTGTCTTCTCTCTGCAGCTTTTAAAAGAGAAAAAAAAAACATTAAATGTAGAGTATTTAAACTTGTTTTATTGTTAATTCAAATATTAGATCCATGAATCAGTGAGCCGCCATTAGCCAGTAACACCCCCCCACCCCCACCCCACCCAGCTGCTACAGCTAGCTGCTACTGCTGTAACCAGCACTTCATGGAATGACCTCGTCTTGTCAAACTGACATCGACGTGAAGGTTCATAAAATTTTGTTTGCGCAAAACATTACAAAACCTTTAGAAGGCCCACAGAGATCCACTTGGGTCCTGGTCCCGCTCAGACTAGCCATCAGCTCATCAGTACTGTCAGATTTAAATTATTTCTCTGAACTCAGGTTGTTTAATAAGCCATCTGCAACAGATAAGATACTGACTGCTCAGAGTCTTTATTGAGTGCAGATCTGGTCATATTTTACTCTAAAGTTAAATTCTTGTTGCTGCCATCAAGTTCAAATCTGCCACAAGTTTTACTCAAATGATCCAGAACCGCAGCAGAACTTCCTGACTCCTTCCTCGGTACTTCTGGGTTCTGCTCTAAACGTTTGAGTCACATAACATGATGAAACGTGAGTTGCTTAAAACACCCTTGATTGTTCTGCCTCTAAATGCCTGTGATGACGTGAAAATGGTGCTTGACTGGAGAAATGTTTTGTTTCTGATCCAAACCCTCCGTTTGGAGAGTTCTCCAGAACCTGACCCGGTTTGTGAATCTGTCTGAACGCTCATATAACACAGAGCTGAATGAAAAAGGACAAATATCAAGATTTATCTGCAGTTTGGGGGGTTTGGAGGTAATGTCCTGAATGAAAGAGCAGAATTGTTCCTGTTTGGACCGGTACAGAACTCTGGCCAAACCAGGCCTTTAATTAGAGCTATTAACCGGGGGGGTCAGAATGAAGAGTTAAAACTGCTGCAGGGCTGTGATGTCAGAGACCCGCGGGTTTCAGCCGACAGAGGTCCGGTTTTACAGAACAAACAGGAAGTGACACGTCAGTCAGCTGAACAACAGTCTCTGTGTTCAGAACCTCTGTGTGTGTTCAGAACCTCTCACTCTGTGTTCAGAACCTCTCACTGTGTTCAGAACCTCTGTGTTCAGAACCTCTCTGTGTGTTCAGAACCTCTCTGCATGTTCAGAACCTCTGTGTGTGTTCAGAACCTCTCACTGTGTGTTTAGAACCTCTCACTGTGTGTTCAGAACCTCTGTGTGTGTTCAGAACCTCTCACTGTGTTCAGAACCTCTCTCTGTGTTCAGAACCTCTGTGTTCAGAACCTCTCACTGTGTTCAGAACCTCTCTCTGTGTTCAGAACCTCTCACTGTGTTCAGAACCTCTCACTGTGTTCAGAACCTCTCTCTGTGTTCAGAACCTCTCTCTGTGTTCAGAACCTCTCTGTGTTCAGAACCTCTCTCTGTGTTCAGAACCTCTCTGTGTTCAGAA